GACTGGATTATTTTTGGACACTATATAATGGTAACCGTTATTATGTATTATATGATAACGGTAATATTTCACACGTTAAACATTAGTCGATTTGATTATGGAATCCGGTGAAAACATTGATGATCATATAAAAATATATATGGAAAAATACCAAGAAAAATTCGCCTTTAAATTATACGAATGGTATATAGAAAAAGGTATATACGGCATTTTTAAATCTTTTATAAGTTGTGCCAGAAACTCATTTATATATTTATTTTAAGAACGATATGCGGATTTGTTATCGTTAATTCAGTCGCATACTTCAGAGCACCAAGAATGGCTTAGAATGTTCCTAAATGAACGAAATTTAAGTGGAATATCTTGGATGCATGATATATACATGGAGAATTATAACGATGCATCAATAAAGCTGCGGTTACTGGCTCAAAAAGAAATGCGTGTTAACAAACGAAAGGTAAACATTCTGTTGTTTTTTTTTAACACGCGTTACAACTTTTCAAATAAAATAATTATTAAGCCTTAGTAATCTTTTCAGACTTTTCTCAGCATTAGTAAATTAACTTTCTTGGCTGGCTTAAGTGATGAAGTGGACACACAAAATGAAGATGTACAATGTAATATGGAAGGCAAGTATAACATTTAATTTATATCTATCGTTACTTATCTGTTTACTGATTTATTTTATTAATAGGAATTGAAAATGGATTCGAACTAATTGATGCATACACTGCACTTCAAGATCAATTTGTTGAAATTATTACTTCTACGGATCAAACCGTAGATGAAAGTAAACAAGTAGACGTGATTGTGGACAACGCTGCTAAAAATCTCAAACAATATCGACCAATGCACGCAAAGGTAATTTATATAATTGCTAAAAATTAATGAACATAAATCGAATATAAATTATGATTTTTAGGTGTTTGCGCAATATGTGCCATATATTCTGAGCGGTGAAATGCTTTCGACAGAAGCGTTAATCGAAGTATTGACGCTCAAAGAAAAGAAGGAAAAAGATGATTTTCCATTTACTTTACAGTTTACGTTAAGCGATGAAAAGGTTTGT